GCACTGTGGGAGCTGCTGACCAATTCTCAGTGGCTAGCTGGGCACTCCAATCAGTAGGGAACTGCTGGGTGGGTACCGAGGGCACCTGCATACCCTCAGACCAGTCAGTGGCCTCTGGCTGAGCAGCAGTGAACTCAGGAGCTGGAGCGGTCCATTCGCCCTGAAATTCCTCCTTGGTGACGGCCTTCTCAGCAGCAGCCTGTTCTTCCTTCTCAATCTCCTCTGGGTCTCTGTAGAAGTAAAGATCAGGCATAACCTCCCATAGGTGCTCCCGGGAGATAGTGCCACACATGTGGAGTACTTCCCGGGCCAGCATCCACCACATCAGGCCCACTGAGTGAGCTCCCTTGCTGTTGTACGGGATGACGATGTCCACGTAGCGCAGAGGTGAGTCTGTTACACGGGGCAATGGTGAGCAGGTTCACGGAAGACGCCTCTGTGAGGGGCTGGTGGTCAGCCCTGGGATCAGTCACCACCAGAAGCTGTGCTCCCTGAAGGCTGCCTGGATCCGGTTAGTGAAGGTCCGTGGGGTGAACCGGCCAGCGATCGGAGTGGCTCCAGTGGCAGCAGCAAACTTCAGCACCGCTCGCTGCCCAGTGCTCCTGGAGATGACGTTGACATCAGCTGGGTTCTCAATGGTAACAATAGCCCGAGCTGTCAGCAGCAGCTTCTCCCAGGTCCTCTCCAGATTGATGATGTGGATGCCGTCGCTTTTCCTTTTGTAGATGTACTGCTCCATCTGAGAGTCGAGGTTGGTGCCACCTAAGTGGGTTCCCGCAGCGAGGAATTTGAGGACATCCTCCTCCTTCATCTGCAGGACATCAAGGGCTCCGGACATTGTGTAAGTTTCCCTTTAAGTTACGTCCCGGGGCAGCACAGAAAGACGAGAGTCCAGTTTTCTAATCAGGCCAGAGCTTAGAAGTCTGGCTGCTGGTGCTTCCTTCCAAGTGAAACCTAAACATGCTGGCTAAGCAGCAGCTGCCTCAGGGAATGAACTAGAAAATTAGGGGGTGAAGGTCATCCACATCACCTATATATCTGTCTTCTTGCAAACAGAACACATTTCTACTGTCGTGGGCAGCGGTAACTCACGAAGCCCTCCTGGTGACGTCACAGTACCTGTGCCTGCCTAACTCCATCCAAATGCACCCGGAACTCCAGTCTGCTTTGTTTTCCACACACAGAACAGGTGCTCAGTTTCAATACACCCTGGGTCTTTTCATTTTTCTAATCATTTTAAGTGTTAAAAATAAACTAAGAAGAAATGGGGATACAGAAAAGCTAAGTGGAATTGAGGTGATAGTTACACAACTCTAAATTTACTAAAAGACAAACGTCCCTAAACAAAGGTGTGAGCTACAGCTCATTGGCCCAGCACATTCGAGAAATCAGATTAGATTTCTAGCACCAAGTGAAGGGAGCAAAGAAGTAAACTTTATGATGTGTAAATCACAGCTCAATAAAGGCAGGTGGTCAGCTGTTGCTTGCTTGTGTGATTGTTCTTGAAACAAGGTCTCACGTAACCCAAGCTGTCCTTAACCTGTCTACACAGCTGAGGATGGCTGTGAACTCCGAATCCCATCTCCCACAAACTGTCTACACAGCTGAGGATGCCCGTCTCCCACAAA